GGCCTAGATAGGAGAGATGTGTTCTGACTGTAATAAAAGCTAATAGGTTTATGCTCACTTAAGATACAACTGAGATAAAATATTTAATTTCTGCAGAAGTGCATAGGCCCCTAATCACTGAGTCAAGAAAGAACTTCTTTTATTTCCTCTCATATTTCTTATATTACAGAAATATGAAACACTTTGCACAGTATCACAAACTGTGGAATTATATAGGTTGGATTTCTTTCTCCATCATTGTAAACTCTGCTGACAGATGAAAACTTCAATTAAGCCATTTGTAAAAATTAAGTCAAAGTCTTTGGTGAAATATGTTCCCTAATCTATTAATAATGGATTCCATAGCTACTTATCACAGCTTGTCTGATCAAACAGCATTTAGAAAAATTGACGTGCTTTATTTTGAGTTACCTAACTTTTTTATTTTATTTTTTTAGATTTAAACCAGTTAATTGGTTATCTGGATGTAATTACTGTTTGTGCTTCAAACGTACTTAAAAAAATACACACACTAAAACTTTCCCACACTATTTGTTTTCATTGGCATAATAAAGGCCTTCTTAATAAAGAAATATGTAAGATGGACATACTTATTTTTGCTCACTTGGGTTAGAGTAAATGTACAGATTAAAAAAAATGCAATTATTGCTAAAGTTCATACAAACTGAAATAAAGAAAAACTATGAAATGAGCTCCCAACTTATCACAGTACTTCTAGTGATAAGATTTTTTTTATTTGCAACAGCTCAAAACAGTTTGCCTGAAAGATGACTATTGTGCTAACCACCCTCCAGGAGGAGAGGAAGGAGAGTTTGAGTAAGATGAAGAGGACTGGCCAGCCAAAAGCCAGCAAGGAGGGACACCAGTACTTTGCATCTCTGCTGCTGAGCACGAAGCTCACCAGCACTGAAAACTTCAGTTCAGTGTTTTTATGTAAACCAAACAGCAGGACAAGTAAGTGTGTCTCTGAGGATCAGTTGGATGTTAATAATTTGGGCACTGTGTAAAATGATTTATGTACATGATGGTGATAAGCACAGGGAGGTGCACTAAGGCATGATTAGCAACTAGATGTCTGACTAGAGGAATGTCCTGGACTTGATTTAAAGTGTATGTAAAGTTATGTAAATATTTAGGGTCATTGTTTCCCAGGTGATACCCAGCTGTAAAGTGTAGTCTTTGTCTTTTCTACCCTTCCTACTTACAATCAATCTACCTGTAATTGTCCTCCCCTAATTTTGGGCCCTGCCACCCAATCCATGCCATCTTCATCCCCCAAAATACACCTGTAAGATCCTCAAAATCACCTGGAAGAATGAGCATTGTGGAACAACAGTTGCTTAAATGTTATGGAAAATTCTACTGTGCATGTAGCAATGATGTTATATGTCTTGTTCCTGGTGTCTTTTATTTTTGGGTTTGATTGGTTTAATCAAGGAACTCAGATATCACCGAGTTTCTGGATCTTGGTTAATCTGAGAGTTCATCTTTCTGTTTGTCACAGGAAATGGTGATCAACTGGATCATCAGAATTGCTTCTTAGTGGCCTTGTTTTTTTCCCCTGAAGTGAAACTTCAAGTGGCTGACAAGTGTTTTGGAGGCCATATAGAAATCTGTTTGTCTATAGATGTTCTTCAGAGTCCAAATGTTTGCAGAGACTCAAGTGGCTGTGGGAAAGAGTGATGACCCTAATAAGGGATGACCTTTATTAGTAGCTCTATTCCACAGCAGAGAGCAGAAGTTGTTTTAAGTCTTTGCCTTGTGACAGTGTATTTTTCTAGTGGTTTGAGAACCCAGGTGGGCACCATTTTAAAGTTGTCAACAATGTAAGTACTTCTAATGTATAAGCATACTCTTTAGAATGACACACCAGAGGCTGATGATGTGCTACATATTTCACTAGATTAATGAACTTCCAGCCCACGTATCATGTAACATTACTTCATATAGTGTAATCCACATTTCTGCAACCATGCAAGATACCAAAAAATACATCATAAAATGTGCTAGAAGATATGAGAAAGTCACCCCATTAGCCTGTGACACAGGCTAGATATTTTTCTGGTAGCTCATCCACAAAATTAAAGCGGTTGAAACAGAAAATGTTGAAACCAAAAGAATGTTGGAGTAAATAGCAACCCAGAATTCCTTTCATAACTCACTTTTGTTTACTGGTAAATTCTGTCTTCACATTATAAACGTAAATAGTAAACATCTGGTGACATTTTTGCAGGTTCAGATTAACTTCTATATTAACTAAGTAAATGTTTAGATTTTGCTGTATGCAAAAGATGACAGTGAAGGAAGAAAACTGTATATCAATGTACTGTATGTCCTGAATTTCTTAATAGAAGGGATAATTACTACCACCTTTATCCTCATTTCTTTTTGGTTTTGAGCGAATTTTAATGTGACACTGCAAAGGAAATACAAAATCCTTTAGGCAATGCAATATTGTCTCTTCAACAAGCATAGCCAAAAAAATCTTCATCTTTGTATGCTTATGTGTCAGACAAACAAAAACTTTAAGAAAATCAAAATCCTATTTATCCAACTAGATTGTAACAGGAAAATCAACATTTCTCATTAATCACAACCCCTAACTTCTACTTCTGTGGTGCAAACTGCAAATCAGTAATACTTTGCTTGCAGAATTGAAGTTAATTAGTTTATTTTGTACAAGTTACAAAATACTGGTGTAAAGTGTAGCTGCTACTGTCTTGAGCCTTGTTCAGACACACTGAATGGGGTACTCTGTACTTTCTTGAGCCAGTATCTCATAATATTTCACATCTACATTTTACCTTATACTCTCTATCTGAAAGTCTTAACATTAAACTGTTAAACTGAAATGGTCAAAATCAAACGACTGTTTTGTAATTTGCGGAATCTAACACATTTCTTGATAAAAATCAGCCAAAAGTATTAGAAAGCTGCTATTGTGGTTAGTACATGGTTAAAATAGTTCCATGTATGCTTAGAAGGACAATGCATATTTATGTATGTAATATACAAACTACTGTAAACTGATTCAAACTGTATATTTCAACTAGCATCTGTCATATTTTGTGTCACCATTACAACTGTAAAAAAAATTGGTACTCGGAAATCTCACACACTGCTTCCTTTTTTCCTGATACTGATTTAGTGGCAGAATACACCATGCATTTATCTTTGGGCAGGGTGGTTTGGCAGCCACTGTGCCTGGTCAGCTGCTTGCTTATGAAATTGTGCAGCTGAGCATTTGCAGCATCACTGCAATAATACAGAACCACAAACCATCATTACCTACCTGAAACTAACAAAAAAAGGAAAATACCTGCAAATTAGGAAATCCAGCATTTCTGCCAAAGTATTTATATGTGAGCAGCAGCAGAATGCATAAGTATAATTTACTTTCAGTCTAATTGTGGGGTGTTTATTGTTTTTTCTGTATTTCCTGTGTATGTTGAAATGGAGTAATCCTGGTACAGAGAGTTACTTGATAGGAGCGTACAGAATCTGAGCTTCAACTCTGTAAACTGTGTTGTGTTGTGTTCCCTGCTCAATTATTTCAGTGTAAAAACTTTCTGCCTTTCAGGTGTTGGTAGTGGTTTGCTCTTTTTGATTTAAACCATAAATAAAAACTGCAAGGCTTTCTTTCTTTGAGAAGGATGAAGCAGGCGTTTGTTCTGGAGCTGGCTGTGGAGATTTAGGAGTAGGTACGGAAGAGTTCGGTGCCTTGGTGTCTGTGCCATGTTAGTTACTAGAAAGCGCATTCTTCATTCTGCAGCAGCCTCTCCGGTAAGCCACCATCGGTGCTATTTGTCCTTATAAGGGAAACAGATGCCTTTATATTTTCATAAATATTTATTTTTCATAAGCTATAGATGCAAAATGCTGCACCTCTAGGAGGTAGATACCTCTACATCTCTATATCTATATGCATTTAGACGGAGGCGGAGGCGTGCACTTCCTTCGGTTCCCCCACTCCTGTCTGACACACTTGGCTCAGCATTAAGGCTGCCCCAGGCGCAGATGCCTCTGCCGCCGTGTGAGCCGGGGACCCGCGGGGTAACCCGAGCTGGCAGCGCTGTCTGGCCGCAGCTGCCTCCGGAGCGGAGAGAGCGGCAGCGCCGCGTCCGCCCGGGCAGCACCGCACGCTTCCCGCGGCCCCGGGAGCCTCTCGGGGCCGAGCATCCCGGCAGCCCCGGGCCGCCCGCAGGTGACCCGCGCCGCGGCGAGACAGGAGCCGCCCGGGCACCGCCGGGAGCCCCCGGGCTGGCGGTTCGGGGGTGGGGGGAACATTTTTATTCCCCTCTCTCTCGCGAGAAAGGGTTGGGCGGGCGATACTTGAAGAGGAGAAGGGGGGGAGAGAGGAGGGGAAAAAGGAGGAGGAGGAGGGAGGGGGCAGCTGGAACCGCAGCTGGATTAGCGGCGGGTGCAGCGGCCGCAGCTGGAACAGCAGCGGGAACGGCAGCCGGCGGCGGCGGCTCCAGCGGGTGCGCGCCCCTCGCAGCGGCTTCTCCCGGGGCGGGCGGGCTGGGCGCGGGGCTCCTGCCCGCGGCGCTCCGGCCGCTGCGGCTCTAGCGGTGCCCGGCTCGGGGAGCCGGGAGGGTTCGTGCCCAGGGGACACTTCCAGCCCCGGAGCGGCTTCGGGAGCGGTGGCGGCGGCCGCGGTCTGTCCGCGGCGGGTGCGGGAGCCCCCGCGGATGCTGCTGCAGGGGAGGCAGAGCCCGCGCGGCCCCGGGCAGCCCCTCGCCATCCCCCGCGGCCGCCGCCTCTCGCGGGCGCGATAGCGCCGGGCTGGCCGGGGGCCGACGGCGCCGGGGCGCGGGGGCAGGCGGCGGGGGGCGCGGGGTGGCCGCTTTTCCTCGGTCCCTAACTTCTTTTCCTCCTCATTTCTCTTCTCGCAGCTCGCATTGGAGAGGCTGGTCGGAGACAGGGCGGCGGGGACCGGCAGTCTTCGGCGGCGCAGAGGAGGCAGCGGCCGCTCGCAGCCCGGGGGCTCGGGGGACGCGATGTGGCGGGGGCGGCTGCTGGGGATCGCCCTGGGAGTTGCCGTGCTGTGGGCGTCCCAGGCTGGTGCCGCCGCCGCCGGGCACACCGAGGGAGTGAGCGCCAAGGAGAGCCGGTCCAGCCGGGCCAAGAGGCGAGGGCACGGCGGTGGGCACGACGCGCTCAAAGGGTAGGTGCGGGGCCGGCCCCGGCCCCTCCCGGGGTGCCGCGGTGCGGGCCGGGCAGCCGGCGCACATCTGCCTGCGTGTGTGTGTGTCCACAGCCAGAACCCCTTGGCGGTGAGAGCTCTGGCGGTGCGAGAGCTCCCCGAGCCCCCGTGGGGGTGCCTGTACCGAGGAGCGCTTTGGGCTGGGGGGCGCCGGACGCCGCCTGCAGCACCGCGGGGCAGCGCCAGGCTCGGGGCACGCAGCCCCGCCACCCTGCCAGCCCCGCCCGGCAGAGTGCTGGGTTCTCTGCGGCCGTACTTCACCTCTGGGTGGGCGATGCTTCGTGAGGATGAGCCGCAGCAGCGCGGAGGTTGCTGAGCTATGTTCTAAGAAGGCCTTAGATAAAGATACATTGCGGGCTTGTGCATTCCTCCCGCATCCCGCGCTCCTGCTTTGTATAAAGCAGAATAACGGTGATGCCTGGAGCCCACAGCATGCCCTTTCCATCCGCTGTCCTCTCTCATCTCTCTCCACCTTGAGCCTTCTGTGATGTCCATCTTGCTCTCAAATGGGCTAACTCTCTAGTACTAGCATGAGCAAGCCCGAGGATACAAGATTTTAATTTCTTAAGAAACTGTGGTACGTGCTTAGGAGAGAGGTTTTTTTAAAGGCAAACTTTTCCCCATTCTAATGGAACACCTTTCCAATGCAGAAATAGTTGTGAAGTCAGCTGAAAGGCATTGCGTGCATGTGCAGTTGAAAATCTAGTTCACTAAAGGTGAAAAGTTTGTAATAAAGTAATAAAAAAGAAGCTTCCTTTCTCAGGTGCCTTTTCAGTCCACAGCCAGATTTTTTTCTATTGTCAGACAGAGGAGAAATGTAACAAAAATTGTATTAAAATAATTACACTTCTGTAAAAGATGCAAGCTATTTGCTTCTTTTGCCCCCTATTTTCTCAAAAAGGAGCTATTACAACTTTATTGGTAGAGGCCTTGATGAATATGCTTTAATTTCTGGCTAACTTCCTCATAATTGTATAGTACTTTTTATCTATATTTGGATTTACAATCTTGTTTTTTTTAATGCTTGCCTGATTGAAAAAGGTTCATGTTTTTAGATCTGCATGCTGCAAAAATGGATACAAGCTGTCAGCATTATTTTTCAAGGATCTGATTTTGTGGGATCAGACTCTCTTATTTAATTTCCTTATACCTTGTCACAAAAGAAATAGTTGGACAAAGTAGATCCAAAATAGATGTGACAAAATCTAGGAGCTGAGAAGGATGTACAGTAACGTTTGTGGGAAATTTGTTTTAATAACCTCTGTTATTCGATACTTAGTTAATATCAAACTGAGAAATATAATTTTTTGCTCAGTGGCACAGAATATGCCATCTAGCGCACTGTGCTGACTTGGTGGACGTTAGAGACACTTTAGCTGAGGATAAAATTTCTTTGGTGTGTGTAATGTCACTCTAAACTGTGCTGCACATAATAATAGTGCATCAAGGGATGATATTTCAAGTGTTAATTATTTTTGGAATCTAAAATAGGTTAGGGTAAGTATTTAATCTTATGAGTTGATTCTTATACTTAACTGCCATATTTTATGTACTTTGCAATATTTCTTCTTTTTATTGTATGTTATCTGTGAGTTATATATATATCTGCTTCGTAATCTGCAAATCTGGAGATAATGTCAACATAAATTTTAGTTATTCTGTATCTTGGTCAGTTTTTGGGAATATTGCCAATATGAATGAGTGTTTCTGGGAAGCAGATTCTTAACAAGGATGTAATAATTTGCCAGATGAACTGAGAAAAAGACAAATTATTAGTTTGGTTTCTTGTTAGACCTTTTGTAACCCTGATTTGAGGCTGAGTATAGAGTTCCCAAATTGCTTGGATTTTGATCATAGTTGGGTGAATCCTGCTGGATATTTCCAGTTTAGAAGTTGTGAGCACTTTCTTAGGTGTGGTATTGTACTGTACAATGTGAATAAAAAGAATTGTCGTTCTAACAGACAAGGTTGGAATGAATTAGGAAGGACAGATGGAAAACATATTTTGAATTTACAGGAACTGTATATACATTATTCATTGTAATTGGAGGACTAAAGCACTAAAAATATGATTTTATAAGAAGACATAGTATTTTTTTAACTTGTTCATCAGTACAAATACATTTGGGAATCTGTTAATTGTAATACAAGTCATAACAGATGCTGAGAAACTTTATTTCCATGTTATTAGAGTTGACTAAGACTTTCTTTTCATTTTGAAATGAACTCTTGCTTAGATTGTAAGGCACATGGGGATACATTTTTAGAGAAAACTCTTTTACACTTTAGTCACTTTGTGTGTTTGATTATAATGACTATTGGAAGTCTTTTCACATTTGAAAGTATTGAGGTTAGTCTGTGTGTCAATACTGGTATGTTAAAATGAAGAAGCTTAAGATTTGTTTCATTTCTCATGATTTTTCCTACTTAACATTTTTTACTACAAGCTGTTGACTGCAGAAGATGTTTGCTCTCATCTGTGTGACTTTTGCCTCATTGTTTATGGCAATGAGCTGTTTGAATGTATAATGTGATTCTAGAAGCATATTTTAATTTTAATAATTATAAATTACTTGGAAGTACATCTTAGATTCTCATTTTAAGATGTTACACTTGCTGCTCATGTAGTTTGAACCAGTCCTGCTTTGGAGGCATTAGAGGTGAAGTCCTTTTAATGGCATCTGTGTTTGGCCTAATTTAATGTATATTTATGTGCTGGTGCCTGATGCCTCTAAGTGATCAGAAAGCAATCAGAATTATTAAAGAATATAACTAGACTCTGGTCATGGAAATGTTGTTGGAATCCATTGTGGTTCAGCAAGTTAAAATAATAAGCTGCTAGTGAGACACTTCTCCTCCAGATCCCCAGAACTTTATCACAGATGTTACTGTATTGAGCTATAAGGCATCAAGGCATTACCTGCTACCCCTTAAACATCCAAGAATGCAGTGTCAGCTTCTGTAGGAAACCCTACAAAGCTGGCCATGAACAGAGAGTTCTTTCTAAACAATATATACTTGAAGACAACCATTCATATGTGTTTCAATCGTTAGAAAATAAAACAAAAAATAATTTACTGGTGATTAGATTAGTACTTATCTGAATACAAGAAGTATCATACTCAAAGATCTTAGAATTCATTATTGTTTCTCATTTTCTGATAAGGCTAGACAACTTCAAACACTAATGAGTATCAGTCAGTTCTTAATAACATTTTAAGCAATGTTTGTCATGTTTATCAGTATCTTCTCAGTATAATGGCCAAAGAAGGCAATGATTTGCTTAACAAATAGCACAAATTTTCAAAGAACGAAATTTCAAGATAGCTGAATTCTGATATGTTTTTAATTAGTAGACTAATTAAATGTATTTGTGCAAGAATGATTTAATTTTTTTGCTTTTATTAAGTTGAAATGATAGAGAATATTGCAGAACAGAATAGTTGGCTCCAAAAGGATTCATAAAAGTCTTGGATTAAAGGTATTCAACAGGGGATTGAGGTTTTTGGACCAATTTCTTTTGTTTATCTCAGATGAAGACCACAGGTTTACTGATACACTTCCTTGAGTAAACTGGGTTGGATTTGACCCTTTTTATGTATCAGTGCTCCGTGAAATAGAATAATCTTATAAATCTATAACTTAATTCTAGTGTTCAGCTATATAATTAGGGCTTCTGGTTTTCGTTTTAAACCAATCGTTACCACTAAAAGCCTGCTGAAGGAAAGCAGACTTTCTGTACTGGTAAATATTTGTTTATACTGAAAAACCTCAAAGATTTTTCTTGCCACTTGTGGCCTGCACACCTCTGGGCAGCTGCTGGTGCCACACTTTGTCAATGCCACTCTGCAAGCGGGAGGCAGCCTGAATACTTAGAAATAAAAAACTTAATTAAAAATACATGCAGGTTGCCGTAATAGCCGATGTGCTGGAGCACTCACCTGGCTTCCAGGTGGCATGGCTGGCCTCCTTCCAGTCCTCTGTGCCTGTGGGGTAAAGCTTACATGGAGGGTGAAGAACTTTATTCCAGCATATCCTAGTGTGCAAACTGGAGTCCTTGGCAACTAAACGTAGTGTTAATATTCTGCAACTCTCTGAATATATGTGCCAATGGTTGTGGTTCTTTTGTTATTATTTTGTTATTACATGATTCTTGGAAATCTAGTTCTGGAGTGAAATAAGTTCATAGATATTGGCACAGTGCCTCATATGTGTGTTTCCTCTCTTTTGGCATTTGATGTAGGTGTGACTTTGTGGAGCAGGAGAAAACCAGTAAAAAGTAAATAATCTTCAGGGCTTTGTAGTCCTTGTAGTCTTCATTTAGATATCGAAATTGTGTCACTTGAGCACCATCTCTTTAGAAGGCACAGCCTTAATCCGAATTCTGATTTATCGCTTTTGGGGATAGACTTCTAGGCCTGTGTAGTTGATAGGGCAGAATTAGACTTTATTCATTTTGGACATGCCAGTGCAACCTGTGGTTAAAACTCTTAGTGAGTACTGCTGTAGTCTCCCTTTCAGTGGGAGGCTCTGAGGCACATGAGATTCTGTGACAGACAGCTTAGCCACTCTTCCTCTCTGTGCTCTTTCTAATATTATATTGTAGTGGGACACAAATGGTTTTGAAGTGTCATATTCCTCTCCTAAAATATATAAGCTAATTACTTTCTTGCCATTTGATGGTAGCAGGTCATAAGTAGAGCAAGCAGAGGAAAAAGGCTACAATAAACAGTGTAGCAGCATTCTTGATGTACTGTATGAAACAAGATTGTTTTGGAAATGTTGTAAAATCAGTCTGGGAGACTAAGATGAAGCAGGTTTCCTGTGACCCAGTATCACTGTGCCAAAGTGACATGTTGAACATCAGAAAGGCAAGACTGGATATAATTCTTTTCCTTTCTTCCCATCATTTATCCATTTATTCATTTTTGTCTGCTTAGCTCTTGGCTGTATCAGGCTGG